CTAATCAATGCAAACTGATTTTCCTGTTCTGTATTGACCTTTAACCCATGGACTGTCCATGGTAATTTTGTTCTTCACCTGATAAGGTACCTGATCCATAATAAGTCAATTCCAATTAGTTCAGAAACTGGAAATTTAAGTACATAAGGGAAAGCCAAGTGAAGCCTTATATTCGTAAAATATTTTAATAAATATTGTCATCAAAATGCATACTGTTTATCTAAATACCATCATACATGTTTATAGATGTTTCATTTTTAATTACTTTTGTATTCATAAACTCGTTTGATAAATATCACCAGCAACATTTATATATCCTCATTTAGAAATCTGGTTTACTTTATTTTAAAAGGCTTCACTTAGTTCTCTTCAAGTGTCTACCCAGATGTATCAAATTATACCATTGATAATGACTATAAAATTTGTCGAAATTATTCAAGAAGTTCTGTGAAACTTGCCATTGAAATAAAGTACACAGATATACTAAATGGTATTTTTCCTTTCAATATAGTTTTTGTAGTCATGGTATAGTCTTTAAAAGCACAAAACAGTTAAAAAGTAGGCACAGCAAATACTATTTGTATATTATATGTGTGTGTAATATGTAATGTTTATATATAATATATGTAATACATATAATTCATCAGTTTATTCTTTATAGATTCATTGTATACTACACTCAACACAGAATATTCTTTACATTTTTACCTACCCTTTCATGTGTAGAAAGATAAACTATCCTCAAAATACAGCTTGATACAATACTGTTGACTTTTAAGATAGATATTGATTCTAACCCCAAAACCAGTATTATAACCAAATACCATCTTAGAAGCAGGGTCATGACACATTTAAAAACTCAGTTTCATCGCCAATCCTATCCCTATATGCCAGATTTACAACATTAAATAATCTAATATTTTATCTGCCTGATCTGCTAGCATATACAGAAAAGCAGTAGAAAGTCATATATTTGAAGAAAAGGGGAAAAATATTTTTCTTTTTAAAACAGTTTTAATACAGTTGTTAGTGTTTTGTGTTATTATTCTCTTTGTTTTTTAAATACATTGTCCCATATATGACTGTGCCTTAAATCTCTGGGCCAATTTTCATTGCTGGTTGAGGGAAAAAGGAGACTTGAGAAAAGGAGCAGCCTGTTGATTACAAATAAAGATACTGTCTTAAGAGAGAGGCCTGTCCCACTAGCCTGGGCAGTGCATGGGCTGGGGTGTCCCAGAGAGGTGGTGATCATTGTGAAGATCAGCTCTGTGAAGACAGTTTCCTCTGAGTCAACCCTTAGAATGGATACACATTCAGTTCAATAGCCTTTTTGAATATTAAAACACCACAGGAAAAAACAAAAAAACAAAAACCATGAATAAGCAACACTAGTTGGTTTTGTTTTGCTTTCTTTTGTTTTAAAGTTCATTTCTCTTTTCCCATCTCTCCTACTTAGTAGCCATAAGATGGTTTTAGTAATAAATAAACTAAAATAAATCAGCTGCTGAAACCATTCACCAGGAGAACAGCATAGAATCTTAATAACCATAGCACATTGAAAGAAATATTAATAGCTTGGTTTGAGAGCAAAATATATATATATATTCAATACATTCATTCTTCTGAGAACTATAATCACTTTGGCCTGTTTTTTACCCTTTTTTCCTGAGGTGTTTTTCATAGCAGGAGTTTCACTCTACTGAGCTAAGTTGTAGGATCCCTCAAGCTAACAAACATCTTTTAGATACTTTTCCTATAGTTTTTTTTGTTCCAGATTATTTAATGCCCCCTCAGGAAAGATAAATTCATTTCTGAACACATTGGGGTGGGCTTTTAGAAAGTGGTATGTTCATTTTCTGCACAAGAAATGGATCTTCTCTAGGATTTTGTACATCTTGATTTATTCTTGGCTTAGAGTTTGAAGTGGGTGCTCTTCTAAAGGGATTTATGCATAGGTTCACTATTTTTGTAGTTATGGTTTATATGATAAGCTTTTTATATTTAAAATCAATATGTAATCCTGTGGAGGAGCTTATCCCCTAAAACCCCATTTGTAAATCTATTTTAGCTTTGTTACACAGCACAGCCACAGTCTTCCATAGATTGATTAGGTACAGCGGTAGAATCCTATCAAATGGCCTGTTCTGATGATGATGCAAACTCTTTCAGGATTGCTAGTTGACTGGAACTAAAGATAAGACTTGACTGCAATCCCCCAATGTGCTCTTTACAAAACTAGTGTTAATTTTCATCAAAGTGCCAGGCTTATTTATAGTGGCAAGGTTGAAGGTTTACTATAAGAACTTTAGGTCCTTTCTATTAAAGTGTTTATAGGTATTCCTCTTGCCTTTTTTCAAGGTAATTATCAACTTCAGCAAATAAACTGAATCAGGGAGTGAATAATTGGCCCTAAATATAAAAAAGAGTTTTTAAAAGTAACAAAACAGCTCAGTGCAGATGGACATAAACAAAATCTCTTTATTTCAACACTTTGGCTCAAATGCAGCATCAAAACTTAATCCTATTTGTTACAAGAGGATATGGCTTTTGTAGGAAAAGTACACTGGAATCTTTAAATTAATCAGAACCCACATTGTAGTTTGTCCAAGCCAAAGTCAGTGCAGCTAGCTAGCTGTGACTAGTATTATAGGTGAGTAATTTGTTCTTAAAATGCATAACAGGTAACGCGTAAACTTACATGCAAGTTTTTAAAACATAACATTTCTAAGTGAAGCTTTTTAAAACAGGATTTTAAAAAAATTTAGGCTTGAACATGCAAATATGAATCTTGATCAGTTTTAAATATGATATTACATTTTTTTAAAAGATAAAAATAGTTTAATTTCTCAAATTAGCATTCAAATATATATGTATGTGTATGTGTACACATATATGAGTTTGTATACATACATATTACATAATTTATTCCCCATTATGAGACAACAGACAGGAAGTAAAAGTACAGTTTTGCTAATGTAAAATCTATTCACTGCACATTGCTATTTACAGTATAGTTGACATATTTTGTAGACAGATATTAATGTAGCACTATAATGACATTTAATATTTTAAAGTCTCTAAATTTTTGCTGGGATATTTTAAATTCTAATGTCATTTAAATTTGACTCTGAAATGATGAAAATTACCTAAATATTCTTAATTTTTAAATGATTTCATTACAGTTATAGAAAATGTCATTATTGAGCTAGGGAAAAGTTAAGATATTTTAAATTACTCAGTACTTCAAGGGTTAAAATTTTCTTTAATGTCGTCTTTTATCCATTTTGTTAAAGTCCTAATTTTTTCAATATTGATGAAATCGTGGTATTTGTAATTACTAATTAAAGCCTTAAAAGTGACTAGTCAAGTTCAGAGAAGGAATAATTAAGAAAATTATATGTGTTGTTAAAATTTATCTTTTCTTGGTTTAATTTTTTAAAATATAATTTTCTGTTTAATTCTGTTTTTGAAAATTTATTATTCATTTGTAAAGCTCTTAGCAAAATGTTTTGGAAGTAAATAATTATAAATCAAAGCTTATAATCAGAATGATTTCTTGAGGTTGGAAAGGGAAAAATTAATATTCATTAAACTAGTAATCTTAATTATAAAATTTAGTTTCAAATCTATTACACATTTAGATTTCTTCTGAATTAATATTTCTAGAATTATACTTACCTGAAATTAGACTAGATGACTTTTTAAGATCTTTCCAACCTGGAGAGCCTATTAATTTACCTGCTGAATAGGACTGATTTAAGAACGAGAACCGGATTTAAAAATTTTCCAGCATTTCTGTCCTCAGTTGCATTTAAATCCAGAGAATAAAATTGTTACATATATATAGCTGCTCTTCAGTTTTGCTGTTTATTATTTTTAAAATTCTTCTATTCAAAGAAACCCTTTCCAAATAGTTTCTGTATTCATTTCCATGCTATAGAATATTTCATTTAAAAAATAAGAACGTAATAGTGATAGGTTATTTAATGTATTTGTGCGATATTTTATATCAAATGTGGATAATTAACATATAGCATGTTTCATATAAATATGGATTTACGTGTTAGAGCTTATAATAAAAGAAATAGTGATAAATTGAGTAAAACATTCTAGCTTTTTGCTGCTTTTCTAACCTTTGTTGCATGATGATGCATCTAATTTTTAATTTGTAAATACAAGATAGAATTCCCTCTAGCACCATTTGCTTTCATAAAGCTGCTGAGCAGTTTGCTGTCTTGAATAAATTCTGCTTTGGAGGGGGTCGGGGGGATTTGAACCAGCACATTCTTGTGTGGTTTGTGAAGATTCACATGGTAACCAGCGGTGTGCATTGTTAGGTTTATCTGAATAAGCACCAGCCATGTGAGTTTTAACATGATTGCCCAGGGCAATGGAGAGAGAAGAGAGAAACCCGAAAGGATTGCACTTCTCTCTGTTTTGGAAAGTGCATTTGCTGGGGGAGGGGGCTGTAGGAGTCAGTGGCCATGGTCCTTTTTTTTTTTTTTTTTTTTTTTTTTTTTTTTTTTTTTTTTTTAAGCTGGTGTCCTGTTTCCCTCTAGGTCCTCATTTGTTCTGCTATCTGCCTCATCATCTACTTCTTCTTTTCATTGTTTACCTTCCTAATGAGGGAGGCGGGGTAGACTGGGGGTTGATTGACAGCTACAAGCCCTTACAGTCTGGCCAGAGAGCAGTTGGCTTTGGTTTCAAAAGTGTTTTAAATGTTCGATTTGGTCCTGTTTTTATTAAATGAAACTGCTGCTCATCTTAAGGAAATCATCAGACCAGCGAAGATTAGGAAATATATCACTGGGGTCTAAAACCTTCAAAAAAAACGCCCGCTATCCAAAGAAAGAGCACTGCCCATCGGGTTTTCCAACCTTTAACATAGGGTTTCAAAAAGAAATATGTAATTTTTCCTTTGCAAAAGTGCTTTGATTTGAAACCACCCAGCAAACGTCTCCAAAAGAAAACTGGCTGTGATGAGATCGAGAGCTGCAGTGTAATATTGCAGAGCAAATTTATTTTTTACTTCAAAGAAAAATGCTAATTAGCCGATTCACTACTTTTAAAGTTATTGTGAAGCATATGGCGCCCAGTGTGAGATACATCCAACTGCTAAAATAGAGCGAAGAGGAAATTAGCGAAGAATGGGCTGTTTGGGGTGAGAGTGGGGGTGGGGGAGGAGGATAGGTTCTCAGGCAGATTCTCTAGCCTTTTCAGAATGATTTTATCGCCCAGCACTGTTTCCCGCCTCCTCATTTACCCACTTCCCCCACTATCAACCCCTGGGCCAACCTCTTCTGGGCCTCTAGCCCCCCTCCCCCACTTTGGCTAGATTCAGGTGCGCACCTCAGGCTAGCCACCGGCTCACACCTGGTTCTGAGCAGGTTCCAACCCTGCCACAGTCGTCTCCATTAGCATGAAATATTTAGAAAGTAGAGTTTTAGCGAGGAAACCTTCACCACGACAGCCAAACTCCCAGAAAACACTAGCTAGTGGCTCTATAATGTGGTTTGCCGAGAAATATAAGGAAACTGGAAAAGGCGGGAAGGGGAGGGCAGGGGGCCGGGTGTTGGGAGGCCCTGCCGGTGGGTAACTAGCCTCCCATCTTCTGCAGACTGGCAGAAGACCGAGGCACAGAAGCGACGCGAGCAGCTTCTGCTAGATGAATTGGTGGCCCTGGTGAACAAGCGCGATGCGCTCGTCAGGGACCTGGACGCACAGGAGAAGCAGTGAGTGGGCAGTGGGGTCGGGTCGAGGCTGGGCCACCTGCCGAGGGGCCGAGAAGTGTGGGGAAAGTTCAATCCAGAGGTCGCAGGAGGGCCGGGACAGCCTCCTGCTGGCCTGGTGCTCCCCATTCCCGCTGGGGATCCAAATACTGGGTGACGGAGGAGTGCTGCTCTGCCTCCACGTAGAAAAATAATTTTGTTTCCTGTTTGTCCTGTTTGTCTGACATCCAGGGCCGAAGAAGAAGATGAGCATTTGGAGCGAACTCTGGAGCAAAACAAAGGCAAGATGGCCAAGAAAGAGGAGAAATGTGTTCTTCAGTAGCCATCAGATCAGAAAGACTCTCTCCCAACGTTTAGAGTCTTGGTTCCCAGACTAGAAAAAGTCAGACTCATTGTTGGTTTAAAACTTTTAACATTTTGTTTGGCTGGATTGTACTACTTTACCACCACCACCTTTTCCCTCCTTCCTTTCCAAATAATATACAGAACTCCAAAATAGCTTTGTTTAAGGATTTTTTGTGAGTTAACAATTTCCTTGAAATCCTGTGAAATAGATTTGCACAGACACCTTGTGAATGATTGGTATTGGAGGTGTTCAAGAAACTGTTCAAAAAGAACAAAAACACTTCCCTTGTTATTTTCTCTCATTTTTTGATGGGAGGAAAATTTGAAACCTTCTTGTTGTTGGTAATAGCATAATGACAGTGGGAGGGGGGTACAAGGGGATAAGAAAAATGTCATTTTTTTTCCCAGTCCTGCCATATGTAACACTTACTCTGTTACCTAAATTTTATAGTTAGATCATATCCAATGTACTTATTAAACTGTGTTCTATTTACCAGTGGAGTTTTTCTGCGGTTGTTTTGCGTTTCACTGTAAGGATAATGTAGTTTCTCTCCTCTGCTTTCCTCAGAGGATGGTCCTTTAAATAGCCAGAAACAAGCCCTGTGGTTTGAAGGTGAGCTGTGAGGATGGGACTAATTGATATGCACCAATTTACAAAGACAGTCTTATCATCCGCGAATACACCATCTTTTTATCTGGATAATTATTTCTTACATCATGCTTGATTCCTACATTTTGTTGGGTCTCAGCAGTGGCTCACGAATGCTGTTAATATTTATTCTGTATTGATAAAAAAAAAAAAAAGTCTGTCTTGCCACTACAAGTAAATCCCCCATTTAATATTTTCTTCTTTAGCATAGCACTGTCATTTTTTTTGTGTGGAAATGGTTATGTTTATTTATTACAATACTGAGTCATATATAAATTTTCAATAAAAGCAGAAACTTTCTTACCTTAAACACGACTGCTACTTTCTTGCAATGAAAACTTGACATTGATTTGAGTGAAGTTTGTGTATCCATAAGACTTTTCATGTGGAAAATGGTCCTCTGGAACATAGGGCAGGATACTGGGCTGCATTTGAAGCTGAGTAAGTTTACACCATCCCAGAGAGGGCCCTGCTGACACACGAATGTGAATTGAAAAGTAATTAGTCATATTCTTAAGCAGTATAAACTATCATCTCTTGTAAAGGGGTCATCTCTGCTAAGGATTTGAGGAAATTTGTGATTCCACACCAGTGAAAAAATACTAATATCTTGCATTTCCACATTATTACTTGTAATTGTTACAGTTTTGAAGTAATGTTAGGGAGAACTGTGTCTTCTGATAACCGGCAAGTCTGTAGGTACTGAAGTCAAAGGAAAAGGGTTATTGCTGGGAGGCGGGGAGAATGTGTGCAGGTATGTATGTATGAAATGAGGGAAAGAGAACTTTTAACAGGAAGTTCTAGACTACAGAAAAAAAAAAAAAAAACCTGGCGATTCTCTAGTGGTTTCCTTCACTCCCCCATGGGGGTGTCCAAACAAAGAAAGCTTGTTCAACAAGTCCAGAAACTTAGAGAAAACAGTCCACTAGCATTTATACTTTAGCGTAGATCATATGTATGTACACACAACAAATTTCGTTCCAAGTATGCAGCCACCTCCAATTGCCAGTCTTTCAAAATGATTAAAACACACACACACACACACACACACACACACACACACACACTTGATGTGGTAGAATTCCTTCATGATAAGAATTTATTTTAAGTTACTGAAAAGTTATTTTAAGTAAATGAAGTCGGTATTTGCCCTCTTCATTCGAGCTGGAGAGCAGAAAGAACTGTGAGAGCTGCTGCTCTCTGGGGAACGCTCTCAGAATCCCGTTCTAACCCCAGGAAAACTCAGAAGATGGAAATCTCCCTCCCCAAGCAGCCTGGGGCTTGGGCGACCAACAGCACCCACCCAGTTTACGCAAGATTCGAGGAACCTTCACTCCCGAGGGGCCTCGCCGAAAAGCAGCTCCTTCGCCCCAGAAGCTTCTCCCAATCGGCCAAGTCATAACCCTTCCCTCGCCCCAGATTGCTAGGATGGTCTGGGACTGCCGGGCGGCCCCTCTACCTGCCCCTCCAGCTTCAGTCCCCAGCCTCCCGGGGTTTCAATTTGGGCTGCTCGGTGGCGCCCGAACGCCCCTCAGCGGCGGTGGAGCGTGGACCCCGGCACCTGGCCGGGTCAGGCCCGCGGCAAGGGCGCTGCATCCGGACATCGCTGCGTGGTGCCCAGGCGCTGGCTCCCGAGAGCGAGCACGAGTCCAGCACGCCCGGGGGACCCGGAAACTGAAAGCCCGCGCCGCGGGAAAAGAGGCTATGGGTCGGAGGGTCGCAGAGGAGCAGGGGCGTTGGCGGCGGGCTTAGTAGGGCACAGTCTGCGGGCGGGTGCAGAACTTCCTTCCCTGGCCAGATCCCTCGGCCTCGGAGCCAAACCCCTCCCCCTGTCCCAAGTGTCCTCCAGAGCCTGGTCGGGCCTGGAGGTCACCTGGATGCTGGATCCGGGTCTCCGGGCCCAGCTCCCTAGCCCTTTCCCGGCCCGGGGGCCTTGAGCTGGACGGCTTCACCTCCTCCAGTGGTGTCCCCACTTCCCCTCCCTGCGCTGCGGCCGATATTGGAACGGTCGTGGCTTCTGGCCCAGCGTCTCCCACCTGGACGTTTGCCTAGCGACGGCCGCCTCAATCCTCTGCGCCGCTTTCAAGAAACTTTAGTCCCCGTCTCTCTCCCTCTCTACTCTCCTCCCTCTCCCCCTCTCCTCTCGCTTTCTTTTCTTAATCCTGGGGTTTTATGGGCTGAGCATTAAGAAAATTCGCCTGCAATTTGGGATTAGATAAATACTCTCATTAGGAAAAAAAAAAAAAAAAAAATCTGTGCTACTTGATACCTCCCGACTTCCCCGAGAATGGTGGCAGCATCTGGAACCGAGAGCGCCGGACTCCCGCGAGGCGTGCCCTGGGGACCGCGCCGGCACATTCCAGCGCGCACGGCTGTCCCACCTCGCTGCGCGGGACCCTTGTCGGGTGCTGAGGCTGCAGGCGAAACAGGGCCTGGTGGAGGGAGGAATGCGTAAGGTGGAGAAATGGGGAAAGGGCACGAGCCCGGCACACAGAGGACTGGCGGGGACTAGGGCAGCGCCGGGCTATAGACGCAGACGCCAGCGAAGCGCACCCCGGGATGTCCGCATATTATTTTCCCCTAAACTAGTGCGCTCCAGCCGGCGCCTTTCCTTGGAACCCAAGGCGGGGGTATATTTCGTTGCTTTCTTTAAACTTCAGCACGATCACAGTGGCTCGGAGCTGCGGGCGGCTGACTGCGGGCCTGGCGGGCTACTCCTGGTAGGGGCCTGCGCGAGCCTAAGGTGTGTCCCCGCCTGGGTTAGCGCTGCGCTATGCACTGTTTTCTTTTCCTCTTAAAAAGCTTCTTTCTCACTCACTCTTTCCCTCCTTCTCTCTCTCATTTTTTCCCATTTCTCTCGTTCTTTTATTCCGCTTTCTCTCTTTATCTCCCTTTTGTGAATGGGCCGTGGTTTCTTTGTTCTGGAGAGAAGCGCCCGTGTCGCTGACTTTTGTGAACCAGAGAAGGATCTTGTAAAACCTCCTTTTCTCCCTCCTACGCCCCCACTCCCACCCCTCCTCCCTGCCCCTTTGATTAGATGTTCCCTCATCGTCAAAAAAAAAATGTAATTTCGTTGGTCTGGCGGCCACTTTCTTTGAACATTAGCTCGCTTTCAGCTCCAACTTCAATTAGAAGGAGTTGATTTTGAGAGATCAACAAAAGAACCGACCAAAGCCTTATTAAAGGTCCTAAGAAGATCTCCCGGGCCCTTTGAGAAGCAGTTAAGGAAACAGTGTGCCCTCCATCATATTCTGTTACCGTATTTTATTCGGACTCCAAAGGAAAGTGTCGCTTGGGGGAGGGGGAAGCACTTTGATGAGCGGCGGCCGCGGCCCCTTTTCACTCAGCGGGCTCCCCCTTCCTTCTCCTCCTTCTCGCCCAGCGCCCGGTCTGCTCTCGGCGCCCGACCCCGCGGCCGGGGCTGCGCGGGTGCTCCCCACTGCGTTGCGCCTGGAGGCTCCTTGACTAGCCTTCACATTTACTACTGTGCAAACTTTTTACTACGCCTGTCGGGGTGAGGGAGTAGGAGATTAGAAACACGGGGTAGAAATTCCTCGAAAGGGAATAAAGTGCCTAATTTTCAGGAGGTGGTGCCATTTAAAAGATTAGCCTTGCTCAGAGTTGGGAGGAAAACACTTTTTTTGCACTTTGAAAAGTCCACCCAGGTAGACGCGTTTGGGAAGTTTGTTCGGCTAGGAAATGGGCTTCGCATATACGAACAATCCGGGGAAATCGCCTCAAGGAGGCTCCTTACGCAGCATGTGGAAAAAAAGTTGAGGGCAGGGGTCTGTGGCCACATTTTCCATCAAAAAGTCCCTGTTAGAAGGAGGCTAGGAAAGAGAGAGTGTGAAAAAGAAAGTTTCCTAGCAAAATGTTTGAATTAAGAAGTAGGGTGTTTGTGTGAGGGGAAGAGGACGCTGGGTTCCAGCGTTTCAGAAGAAGCGTTTAAGACTTGGAAACACCGGTGGTGGGGACCGGGAACCCCGGGAGATGCCGAGGAGCAGGTAAGTGGCGGCGCCCTTCCAGCGGGTGCTCTTCTCAGGCGCGGGAGTCCCGAGGCGCCGAAGAGAGATCTGCGCGCCGGGAGCTGCTCCCGAGCTCTGCAAAGTAGCCTGTGCCGGCACGAGCCGCCCGCGGCGTCGGTCTCAGGTGGCGGCGCAGAGGAAGGAAACGCTGGGGCCCGCGGCGCCGAGAGAGGGGCAGAGGCCCGGGCTCCTCTAGTCCGCCGCCCCCGAGTCCTGGCCTGGTAGTGCACCGAAGAGCGAAGGAACCGGTTCTCCAGCCCCTCGCCCTCTCCCAGCCACTCCCTCCAGAGCGCCTAAAGCGCGAGAGAAGGGCCGGGGGGCCCAGGGCAGGCTTGGGGACCCGCGGCCCCCTCAGCGGCCAGGACTCTGGCTCTCCGCTCGCCTTCCTCTGCTAGCTCTGCGCCGATTTTGCCAGCCGAGTTAGCGCGCGACCGGGGCGGGGCGGGCGGGCGGGGAAGGCGGGGTGTGGGGGGCGGGGGAGGGCGGGGGCGCGCGGAGGTAACCCCCGGCTCGCGCTGCCATTGCCCGGCTCTCTGTCACTCAGCCCGCGCGGGGCCCCCGATTGGCGGCCTAGCCCCGTTACGCACTCGCCTCGCGTTCACATACCCGGGGAGGGCAGTAGAAAGGTGATCAATCTTCATCAGGCTACATTTCCAATCACCTAAACAACCGAGCAAGACAAGCCACTCCGACAAGGTAAATCGCTTGATTTATTTAGTTTGCAAAGTGACTCTGCAGGACTTCCCAGTCCCCACTGCCTCCACGTTGTACCGGGAGTGCCGCGGCAACGCCGAGCCACCTCCCAACTCTGCCCCTCGAATCCCCCCCCGCCCCCGCGGCCCCTCGGCGCGATCCCCGGCCAGGCAATGCCCTGAGAATGCGTGGAGCTTAGCAAACAAAGTGTCTGTGCAATAAAGTGAAACCCTTAGGGACACGCACAAAGCCACTGGAAAAAAAAGATAGAGGTGGTAGGAAAGAAGTTGGGAAAAGAAAGAAACCGGGGGTCCTAGACCAGCCGCAGGGGTAATTCCTGTGCCGCTCTGTTTTGCAGGTTGGCTGCCCGGCGGGTCTCTGTGAGGGATCCAGGTAGATGGTGAACGGCCCCGGCAGCTGAGGGCAGGTAAGGAGAAAGCCGCGGGGCCTCCCGGGACTCCGGGAGCGCGTTGGTTACCCTTACCTCCCCCTCCTCAAATGGATCCCCGCTTCCCGGGTCCCCAGCAGGTGGGCGGGGCTGGGGGAGCGGCCTGGCTCCCCTCTGGGTGCGCGGAGGACCCCGGGGCGCTGTCGCGGCCCGCCGCCCCCTCCCCCGCCTCCTCCGAAGTAACCGAGCTGAAGTGCTAAGTTTGGAGAAAGTCTTTGAAAACTCACGCTGCAGCCTCGCAGAGCCGTCGCAGCTTTGAGTCCCATTTTCCTTTGGCCTAAGAGCTCTGGCTGCTTCCCTTCTCGTTCCCTCCCTACAAGCTGGACTCCCTCTGGCCTTGGGTCCCAGAGGACGGGGGCGGGAAAGGGGCTGAGGGGAGCTTCTTTAACTGCAACTTCTCTCCCTAAACGTCCTAACCCGAGTCCCTGGCCTGCTTCACAGAGATCCCGCGAAGCGGGGTGTAGCGACGGCCCCCCAGAACCCCAGGCCCACTTTCCAGCGCCCCTCCCTGACCCTTGGGAGTGGCGCCTGGGTTCCCGGCAGCGGCGGGGACAAGGCTTGGACCTCCCAGCTCGGGTCTGCGTGGGCTCTGCCGCTGAGGCCTAGTTCTCTGTTCTCGACCGTGTCCTGGGGCCGCGGGTTCAGCTACTAGGATGGCAGCACGCGACTTGCTGCCCTCCGGCTTCGCAAATCTCGGAGACCCTTTAAGGTGCTAGGCCCCAGCCTTCACCTCCCTGCTGGGACCTTGTGGTCGGAAACCCAGACGGGGCAGAGAGAAGGCCGGGTGCGCGCTGGCAACGAAGGGCGATGGCCGCAGCTGAGGCGCTCCCGACCTCAGGCCGCGTCTTGGGATCGCCCCCTCTACAGTGGCCCCTTCAGCGTCCTCTGGTCCTCTGCGGCCTGGGCCCGTTACTGCGGTTGAGGTGTGGTGGGATTCCGCGTCAGCGATTTTTCAGTGGTTGGGCACAGAGAAGTCAGCTGGAATGGTGATTGTGGGCTCTGGGGGCAGGGACGCAGCCCTGGAGACGTTAGAAGAAACCAAGTGTCCTAAGTGCACAGGAGGTTGAGGTGCAGTTAGTCCTCCACATTGCCTCACCTTGGCCCTTTGTAGTCTCTACCTTTTCAAAAACACTGAAACAAAACGAAACAACCCTTCATTCTCTGGGCGCCCTGCCCCGGGCACCAAGTGAACGTTTGCTTGTGCAACATGAAGCCGGCTTCTGCCGGACTCAGAATTTTGCCTGGACTTGGGAGGTTGTACACTCTGTTTCCGGCTCTACCTCCCCAGCCTGGCCCGGCTTTTAACTTCTCCTCACTCTATGGACTCCCTACCAGTGGCTTTGGCCCATTCCAAGCCTAGAGCTAGAGGACCCAGAAAACTTTACTTTTCAAAGCAACTGTGGTTTCTGGGCTAAGTCCTTGCGGAGGCCAGTTGACCACCCTGCGCAGTTCTGTAACCTGTCTTCTCTGTCTATCCCCGGACAAGACTTGGAAGCCAAGTGCCTCCGACTGATGGTTTCCATGTGTATCGTGTCTCCATAGGCCAGGCCCCCAGACGCATCAGAGCCTGAAGGACTGCGCGGTGGGAGCCCTGCACCGCTCCTGGCCCCAGGCCCCCTGGATCCGTCGGGGCGCCTCCACCCAGCTGTTAGCATGATGTCTTACCTCAAACAACCCCCATACGGCATGAATGGGCTGGGCCTGGCCGGGCCTGCCATGGACCTCCTGCACCCCTCCGTGGGCTATCCGGGTGAGCACCGGCCTTCCGGCCCCTGCCCCAGACTCTCAAATGATGGGGACCCTCAGACTGTTGGGTTTGAGTGCAAGCTTTGTTGCCGAGCAGGTCCAGGGAACCGATTGCCTAATCTATTTACAATACCGGGCCCACTGTCGGCGCACTGGGCAGACTCGTGGGCGCATAAGGTGGCCAGGGCTGAGAAAATGCCCAACGTGCGCCTTCCCGGCCGGGTCACAAACAGCTTTTCTCCTGTTGTGGTCCCATCGCCAGCGCAGAGTGCATTTACCCGCGGATTCGCTATTCAAGGGCGGCTGATGATTTTCCTTTTCTCCCAACATGGAATGAGTAATCTGGACACTCGTTAGGCCCTGACCAAAGGAGCCAAACTTTCCTTATGTGAAACGGCAGGTGGACTGAAAAAGGAGGATTCTTCCTCCCGAATTAAATTGTCCTCTAAATCGATGTTCTGCACCCATTTTTGCACTGCTGTAGAG